CCTTTCCGACGGCCTCTTTAGGAAAATCTCATGCCTCACCGTGGCCTCCCCGAGGGAGGCTCCTGCCTTTCAGCAGCCTCTGCAGGCCCAGCTCCTGTGTCCCAGTGGCCTCTGCAGGCCCAGCTCGTTCCTCACAGCCGCCTTCCAGGCCCAGTTCTTGGAAGCCTTTTAGCAGCCCCTCCAGGCCCGGCTCACGCCTCTCACGGCCACTCCAGGCCCAGGTGCTGCCTCCCGGCATCCTCTCTGGGCCCAGCTCTTCCCCCTGGCTGCCTCACAGGCCCAGCTCCTGCCCTCCCAGCGGCCTCTCCAGGCGCAAAACTTTCTGATGTGGGCCCCTCCAGGGTGGGGCCAGCTGCTGCCTCCCAGCGGCCTCCTTCAGCCCAGCTCCTGCCTCCCATCTGGCCTCTCCGGGCTCCGCCTCTGCCTCCCTCATGGCGGCCTCTCCAGGCCCAGCTCTTCTTCCTCACTGGGTCTACAGGCTCAGCTCCTGCCTCACAGCAACTACGTCTGTCCCAGCTGCTGCCCAGCTCCCAGCAGCCTCTATAGACTTTAGTCTTTTTCAAGTCGGGCTTTCAAGGCCTTCCTTCGGCCTACTGGTGGCCTGGACAGACCCAGCTCCTGCCTGACCGCAGCCTCTTCGGCCCAGCAATTCCCTATACAGGCCTTTTCTGGCCCTGTTACTACCTGTTTTTCAGCCATTTTGGTAGGCCTTGCGTTTGCCTCCCAGTGGCCTCTTCAGCCCCATCCTCTGCGTCACGTCTGCCTCTCAAGGTTCAGCTGTTTTTTCATGGTGGCCTTTCCTATACCAGCTTGTGCCCACCACGGCCTCTCCAGGCTCATCTCCTGCCTCTTCGTGGTTTTTCTGCCCTGCACTTGCTCACAGTGGCCTCCTCTGGATCCAGCTCTTCAGGTCTTAGATCATCAACAGCATCAAAAAGCCCAGAGCTTCCCTGGCCTCTCACTTGTTCACTTTTCAGCAGGGCATCTTGGCTGAACACCTGTCCCTACTCTCACCTGGAGAGTGTATTTTTGACAGATTTGTAGCAAATTCTGCCTGTCTCTTTTTACAGTGATGTCTCTTATTTAGTGTCTCATGGTTTTTCTTGTCTCCTGGGGGTTCAGAGGGGAACAGGCCTCTGCTTGGGCTGTTTGTCTTGCCCTGGACGTGGTAGCATCTCATTTCATGTCTTCCTTTTTTATATTTTTTACAGTTAATTTTTTCCCTTAGGGTCTTGCTCTGCCACCCAGGCTGGAGTGTCATCGTGTGTTCGTGGCTCCACTGCAGCCGTGGCCTTTTGGTGTCCACTGACTTTCCCAAGTCAGCATCTTGAGTAGCGTAGACCACAGGCACCTGCCGCCATCCCTGACTAATGTCTGATTTTGTTTGAGAGGTGGGTCCTCACTGTTGCTGAGGCTGGTCTTAAACTTGTGGACACAAGCAGTCCTCTTGCCTGGGCCTCTCAACGTGCTGAGGTTACAAGCATGAGCCGTCATCCGTGGCCTGCCGTTCACTTGCCATGAAGTATTAAGAATTTACTTTTTGACTGATATACTATGATTATATACATTTGTGAATAGACATTTTAAAGTTTTCTGGGATACCCATTTTTTCTTTCTTTTTTTTTTTTGAGGCAAGTTACTGCTTTGTCATTCAGGTTGAAGTGCAGTGGTGTGATCTCGGCTCACTGCAACCTCTGCCTTCTTGGCTTAAGTCATGCTCCCACCTCAGCCTCCTGAGACCCTAGGTACAAGCCGCCATGCCTGCCTAATCTTTATATTTGTTGTAGAGACTGGGTCTCGCCATGTTTCCCAGGCCAGTTTCAAATTCCTGGGATCAAGTGATCCTCCCCCCTCAACCTCCCGCTGTGCTGGGATTACAAGTGTGAGCCACTACACCTGGCCTGCCATTCCCTTTCACTGGGACATTAAGAATTTACCTTTTATTTAGTATATTATAAATAAATATGCAGATATGTGTGTATATACATTATATGTAGATAGGTTAACTAAAATAAGCCAGACACAGAAAGACAAATCTTGCATGCTTCCAATTTGTGACGGCTAAAAATGAAAACAATTGAACTCACGGAAATAGAGAGTAGAATGATGGTTACCAGAAGCTGGGGAGGGTAGTGGGCTGGGGGGGGTGCACAGGAATAATTAATGGGTACAAAAATGCAGTTGGAATGAATAAGATGTAGTACTTGGTAGTACAACAGAGTGACAATGGTAGACGATATTTTATTGTATATTTTAAAATAGCTAAAAGAGGCTGGAGTGGCAGCTTTGCCTGTAAGCCCAGCACTTTGGGAGGCCAAGGCAGGAGGATCACCTGAGGTCAGGAGTTCAAGACCAGCCTGACATGGCAAAACACTGTCTCTACTAAAAATACAAAAATTAGCCAGGCTTGGTGGCATGCACCTGTAGTCCTAGCTTCTCAGGAGGCTGAGGCTGGAGAATCACTTGAACCTGGGAGAATGGGGCGGATGTTGCAGTGAGCCGAGATTGCACCACTGCACTGCAGCCCAGGAGACAGAGCTACACTCCATCTCAAAAAAAAAAAAAAAAGAAAGAAAAGAAAGAAAAAAGAAAAAGAGCTTAATTGAATTGTTTGCAAAACAAAGAAAGGATAAATGCTTAAGGTGAGGGGTATTCCATTTATCCTGATGATTATTACACATTGCATGACCGTACCAGAACATGTCACGCACCCCATAAATATATACACCTACTATGTACCCACAAAAATTAAAAGTAAAGCATTTTTAAACCCCCAATCTTGGCCAGATGTAGTGTACAAACCTGTAATTCCCATGCTTTTTGCAGTCAGGATGGGAGGATCACTTGAGTGTGGGAGTTTGAGACCCACCTAGGAAAAACAGCAAGACTCTCGCCTCTAATAATGAGAAAGAAATTAGCCAGGCCTGGTGGGGCTTATGCCTGTAGTCCCAGCTACTTGAGAGGCTGAGACGACAGAATCCCTTGAACTCAGGAGAAGTTGAGGCTGTGGTGAGCTATGATTGCCCCACTGTACTCCAGCCTGGGTGACAGAGTGAGACCATGTCTCTTTAAAAACCAAACTAATCCTAGCATGACCTGACCCTGCCCGCCACCTCTGTTCTTTTCCTCTTGCTCATCGTGCATCGGGCATCTGGGCTTCTTTTCTGCTCCTGTAAATGCCAAGCGGTTTCCCCCTTCAGGACCATTGCACATGCTCTTCCCTGCCCGAATGGACTTCCCACACCTCCTGCCACAGCTGGATTTTTCTCATGTTTCAGACCTCAGCTCACACATCACCTCTGCGGAGAAATTCTCCCTCATCCTGTGAAGGGGGACTTGTCCTCCTCTGCACTGCCTCGTCCTGCCTGGTTCTCTCAAAGCAGATATCACACTCAAAAACCAGCTTGTTATTTGTTGAATTGCTTGTCTGCATGTTCTCCTCCCAAACTCACGTGGAATCAGAACAGAAGCTCCCTACGGCAGGAGTCTCATCTTGTTCCTTCTCAGAACCTAGTCTAGTAATTGCACATAGTAGGCACACAATCAACGTTATTAGAAGGAATAAGTATTAAGGGGCCGGTCAAGGTGGCTCATGCCTGTAGTCTCAGCGCTTTAGGAGGCCAAGGCAGGTACAGGAGTTTGAGACCAGCCTGGCCAACATGGGGAAACCCCATCTCTGCTAAAAATACAAAAATTAGCTGGGCATGGTGGCAGGTGCCTATAATCCCAGCTACTTGGGAGACTGAGGGAGGAGAATCTCTTGAACCTGGGAGGTGGAAGTTGCAATGAGCTGAGATTGTGCTACTGCACTCCAGCTTAGGCGACAAGTGAGACTCTGTCTAAATAAATAAATAATTAAATAAATTAAATAGGGAAGTAAAACCACATGTCCCCTAGGCTCCTTTCCTCTTAGTCTTTCTATGAGTTAATTAAAGAGATTTGTTTTCTTATAAGCATACATCCAAAAAGGTACTCAAGGTAGGTTTTCTATGTTTTCTGGAATCTTGTAACTGCCCCAAATGATGTGGGGTATTTGGAGGAGCAGCTCTTCCTTGCTTCCTTTATTTTTCTTTTAGAGATGAAATCTCTCCCTGCCACCCAGGCTGCAGTGCAGTGGTGCAGTCCTGGATCACTGCGACCTCACACTCCTGCCTCAAGTCATCCTCCAATTCCAACCTCTGCAGTAGCTGGGACAACAGGCACACACCACCATGCCCAGCTAAGTTTTAAAATTATTTTAGGATCTCACTATGTTGCCTGGGCTGGTCTCAAACTCCTGAACTCAAGCGATCCTTCTGCCTCAGCCTCCCAAAGTGCTGGGATTACAGGTGTGAGACATGGTGCCTGGCCCTTCATTCTTTTTAATAACCTTAATTACCTTCTTTTGAATATCTTTAGAACTACAATGTTTTTGTCTTTTGAGGCTAGAGTTGAGGCTGATTTCCACAAATAGTCATTTCAAGTCAAGTCTTTTGAATGAAGTGAGTGGCCAGAGATGATGACACAATTTTGGCTAAAACAGTTTCTGAGAGAGCACACCATGAACTCTAAAATGTGCGTGCCAGTCACGGGGCCACAGTTCGCTCTTCTTGCCACACTCAGAATTGCAAATTTATTTATTTATATTTATTATTTTTTGTTTTAGATGAAGTCTCACTCTGTCACTCAGGCTGGAGTGCAGTGGCCCGATCTCAGCTCCCTGCAACCTCCCCCTCCCCAGTTCAAGCCATTCTCCCTCCCTCACCCTCCCAAGTAGCTGGATTAGGGGCACCAGCCACCACACGTAGCTAATTGTATTTTTGATAGAGATGGGGTTTCACCATGTCGGCGGCTGTTCTCGAACACCTGACCTCAAGTGATCCACCCACCTCAGCCTCCCAAAGTGCTGAGATTACAGGCATGAGCCACTGTGCCTGGCTGATTTTTTCTAATATGGAAGGAATCACCATGGTCTTCCCTTTCTTTTGATTCATTTCTTTTCCTGGTTCTGAAGTGTTTTTTAAAATATGGAATGCTTTTTGAATTTGTGTGTCATCCTTCCACGGGGACCATGCTCTTCTTCTCCATGTCATGCCAATTTTCGTCTATGTGCTGCCGATGTGAGCACTGGTTCTGTTTATTTATTTATTTATTTATTTATTTGTTCGTTTGTTTATTTTTGAGACAGGGTTTCACTGTGTCTTCCAGGCTGGAATACAGAGACATGGAATACAGCCACGATCATGGCTCACTGCAATCCTGCTTCTCAGGGCTCAAGCAATCCTCCTGCCTGGGCCTTTCAAAGTGTGATTACAAGTGTGAGGCACTGTGCCTAGCCTACAATGTTTTTTTTTTTTTAATTTGAGGAAGTTTATTGTTACATTTTTGCAATAATAGACGAGGCACAACTGCCTCCTGCTTTTCCAACATCTTAATAAAAAAGACAATAAAGATTAACAGTGAAATTAAAATTTAAAAATACTAAAGCCAAATGTTCTGGAGACAAACATGACCACAGCCTATGTGTAGAAAAGTTGTAAATGATGTTAGTTCAGTCTTGCCAAGCGTTACCTTCTCCAATGACAATGCGTTACAGAATTTGGAAGGGCGTGTCTTTAAAAACTTCCTAATTCACCCTGGTCATGAGGAAGAGGAGGAAGTCCAGCTCAGCAAGGCCAGGGTGGTGGGGTCAGTGGCTGAGCAGGTCGAGAAGCTGGGCCGGGGGTCATCGATGCAGCCTACAATGTTTAACTGCTGACTTTGATGCCTGGTTTTGGTTGTGCTAGACACTCCCACTACTTTTTTCTGTAAAAATTACTGGTTTGTTCAGCTCCTTCAAAAGATCTTTGGTGTTTTGCACATCCTAATATGTGAGGCCAGGTGTGGTGGCTCACGCCTGTAACCCCAGCATGTGGGGAAGCCAAGGTGGGAGGATCTCTCCAGATCAAGAGTTCAAAATCAGCCTGGACAACATAGTGAGACCCCATCTCTACTAAAAATGCAAACAATTTAGCTGCGTGTGGTGGCATGCACCTATAGTCCCAGCTTCTCAGGAGTCTGAGGCAGGAGAATTGCTTGAACCTGGGAGGTGGAGGTTGCAGTGAGCCAAGATCACACCACTGCTCTCCACCCTGGGTGACAGAGTGAGACTCTGTCTCAAAACAAAAATTAATTAAAAAAATAAAATATATTTCTCTGAGACAGCGTCTCTGTCGCCCAGGCTAGAGTGTAGTGGCACGATCTCTGCTCACTGCAACTTCTGCCTCCTGGGTTTAAGCAATTCTCCTGCCTCAGCTTCCCAAGTAGCTGGAGTTACAGGTCCTCACCACCATGCCTGGCCAATTTTTGTATTTTTAATAGAGACAGGGTTTCACCATGTTGGCCATGATTAGCCATGCTGAACTTGAACTCCTTGACCTCAGGTGATCACCTGCCTTGGCCTCCCAAAGTGCTGGGATTACAGGCGTGAGGCACCGTGCCCATCCAGAAGATACACTTTGAGTGGCTACCGTACTAATCATAGGGGCACAGAGTTGCACAAGATAAACAAGTTAACAGAGTTTCAGTCCCCAGTTCCCAGCTGAGTCAGATGAGTGAAACAGACATTAATCCAAGAATGACACAAACTAATATAAAACCACTGCAGTGGGTCGGGCATGGTGGCTCACATAATCCAAGCACTTTGGAGGCCAAGGCAGGTGGATCACCTGAGGTTAGGAGTTCAAGACCAGCCTGACCAACATGGTGAAACCCCATCTTTATTAAAAAAAAAAAAAAAACACTGCAGTGATGAGGCCAGATGTGGTGGCTCGTACCTGTGATCTCAGCACTTTGGGAGGCTGAGGCAGGCAGATCACTTGAGGCCAGGAGTTTGAAACCAGCCTGGCCAACAAGGTAAACCCTGTTTCTACTAAAAATGCAAAAAATTAGCCAAGTGTGGTGGTGCACGCCTGTAATCCCAGCTACTTGGGAGGCTGAGGCAGGAGAATCATTTGAACCCAGGAGGTGGGGGTTGCAATGAGCCAAGATCGCCCCACTGCATTCCAGCCTGGGAGACAGAGCAAGATTGCCTCAAAACAAAACCCACCCCAGAAAACCACTGCAGTGATGAAGAGGTGAATGAGGGGATAGTGAGTGTAACATTAGGGCAGCTGATGTAGCTGGGCAAGGGATAGGGGTTGGGGAGGCTTCCCTGAGGACGTGGAGTTTGTGCTGTAATGTCAGTGCCAAGCAGGAATTTACTCGGGAGGGGGTGGGAAGAGCATTTGCAAAGGTCCTGTGGCACCAGCTCCATTTCTTCTGATGGTTTTCAGCCTACTTCACCCCTCATTTTTTGGTCTTTCTTGGTCCCCTTAACTCTTGTCATTCCCATCCATCTATACCAGAGTTGGCAACCTGTGGTCCATAGGCTAAATTCAGCCCTCAAGCTAATACCAGTTTTGCATTTATTTTTATTTTTTATTATTAATTAATTTATTTTTGAGATGGAGTCTTGCTCTGTTGCCCAAGCTGAAGTGCAGCGATATGAACTCGGCTCACTACAACCTCTGCCTCCCGGGTTGAAGCAATTCTCCTGCCTCAGCCTACCGAGTAGCTGGGACTACCGGCGCACGCCACCACACTCAGCTAATTCTTTGTATTTTTAGTAGAGACGGGGTTTCACCATATTGGTCAGGCTGATCTTGAACTCTTGACCTTGTGATCCACCTGCCTCAGCCTCCCAAAGTGCTGGGATTACAGATGTGAGCCACCACGCCTGGCCTTATTATTGTTTAGTTTTTTAGAGACAGTGGTCTTACTCTGTCCCCCAGGCTGGAGTGCAGTGGTACAATCACAGCTCCCTGCAGCCTTGACCTCGTAGACTTAAGTGATCCTCCTTCCTCAGCCTCCTGAGTAGCTGAGACTACAGGCATACACCACTATGCCCCCCTCATTTTAAAATGTTTGTAGAGATGGGGTCTCACTATGTTGCCCAGTCTGATCTCGAACTCTTGGCTTCAAGCAGTCCTCCTCCCTCAGGGTCAGGAAGTGCTGGGATTACAGGCATGAGCTAATGCACCTGGCCTAGAATAGCTGTAACATTTTAAAAGTAGCTGAAAACAAACCCAAAGGCTGCATTGTGTGACATGTCCTATGATACGAAATGGAAGCTTCTGTGTTTATAAATAGTTTTATTGGGACAGAGCCAAGGCATTCCTTGATGTCTCATCTATGGCTGCTTTCACCAGACAGCAGCAGAGTTCAGTCACTGCAGCAGAGACGGTTAGATCCCTAAAGCTGACAATATTGACGACCTGGACCCTGACAGAAAAAATGTGCTGACTCCAAATCTATGGTGTGGTTCACCAGCGGGTTCGTTCTGAAGCACAGTCCTCTGCATCCTCCTTAAACCTTGTCATGGTCACAATCCTTGGGGCCCACAGGCCATGTGACTCCCAGTGCCCTCCACGGGCCCTTACTCTGGGCTCAGGCCACACCAGTCTCCATGATTTATTTGAGCAACAGAGGTTCCCTCTCATTATGGAAACTTTGCACTTCTTGTTCCCTTCCAGGGGGAGATTACACTGAAGGCCCATGGAACTGGGCCAGCTTACCGCTGGAATACGAGTTTCTGGGGGAAAAAAAGGTTTTAAATTCAATTGGTGAGATGGCATGGTTGCCGCCTAGTGGCCACTTCTGCAACTGCACTTTTCAGAGCTTTTAGAGTGGTTGGGAAGGTTTCCTCCTGTGGTAGGAGCTAGAGCAGCATCCCAGATCTGGGTCTTCTCTATCTCTGAACCTAAAGTCTATTTGGGTTCCGGTTATCTACAGGACCCCCATCTAGCCCAGTGATGCTCAAACTTTTAAATTACAAACTTTTGTTTTTGTTTTTTTGAGACGGAGTTTCGCTTTTGTTGCCCAGGCTGGAGTGCAGTGGGGCAATCGATCTCGGCTCACTGCAACCTCCACCTCCTGGGCTGAAGCAATTCTCCTTCCTCAGCCTCCCGAGTACCTGGGACTAAAGGCATGCACCACCTATTTTGTCTTTAGTAGAGACGGGATTTCCCCATGTTGGTCAGGCTGGTCTCAAACTCCTGACCTTAGGTGATCCGCCTGCTTTGGCCTCCCAAAGTGCTGGGCTTTTTTTGTTTGTTTGTTTTTAGAGACAGGGGTCTCATTACTCTGCCCAGGCTGGACTCGAACTTTCAGGCTTAAGTGATCCTCATGCCTCAGCCTTTTGAATAGCTGGGGCTCCAGGTGCACTTCTCTGCTGCCTGCAGTGATGTCCAAACTGTAAGGATCGTATGAACGCCTTGGGGAATTATGATTAGCAGGTGTGGGATAGAGTGGGAGCCTTCATTCTAACAAGCATGATGGTTCTTCTGATTCATGTATCACTTTGGGTAGCAGGCTCTAGCTTTTCTGAAGAAAAGAAGTCATTAAACTTGCTTGGTAAAGAGACAAACAGTAATTTTTTTTTTTTTTGAGACAGAGTTTCGCTCTGTTACTCAGGATAAAGTGCTCACTGCAGCCTCAAACTCCTGGGTGTGCGATCCTCTAGCCCCAACCTCGTGGGTAGCTGGGACCACAGGTGCACGCCACCGCACCTGGCTAATTTTTAAATTTTTGTAGGGATGGGATTTCACTATGTTGCCCAGCCTGATCTCAAATTCCTGGCCTCAAGTGATCCTCCCCCTTCAGCCTTCCATAGCGCTGGGATTATAGGCATGAGCCACTACCCAGCCAGAATTTTATATACTTTTATTTGGTCATAGAATCTTCTAATTCTCTTTTAAAATTAATTTTCTTCTTTTTCCTTTTTCTAGTATCCAGAATATATTATATTCTGGAAGAAGATATTCTTTTTCTTCTTCTTCTTCTTCTTCCTCCTCCTCCTCCTCCTCCTCCTCCTCCTTCTTCCTCGATGGAGTCTCAATCTGTCGCCCAGGCTGGAGCACAATGGCATGATCTCGGCTCACTGTAGCCTCCGCCTCCCAGGTTCAAGTGATTCTTCTCCCTCAACCTCCCAAGTAGCTTGGATTACTGGTGCCTACCAGCACACCTGGAAAATTTCGTATTTTCAGTAGAGACTGGGTTTCACCTTGTTGGCCAGGCTGGTCTCAAACTCCTGAGCTCAGGTGATCCACC